TTCACATACTTACTTTACAAGTCACAAGATCTAAGTGACTCATATAGCTTTTTCTTTTATGGATATGTCATCAGTATAGTTTATAATATGATTTTCACTCACCTAAATAACTGTCAATATTATATTTTAGCTTCTATGATTGTATAATACAGCATATCTATTAAATATGTTTAAACGCATAGTGAAAATGGCCTGCTTGGACGTATGACATTCTCGTCCTAAACTGGAAACACAACGAGTGACTCCCATTTTGGGGCATTACTCTATACTATACAGCCTTATATCACTGTCCACACAAATGTTTGAAGCAATAAAAGAAAAAAGGAAAGGAAAGCTTTGAACTAGCATGCTGTTGCTTCAGGATAATGCTGCAGGATAAAGCAGACAAATGCAGCTTTGAACTGTAGCTCCATGCACCTCATTCCCCCGACCTAAACCGTCTGACTTTTATCTGTTCTCCAAACTGAAAGGTTACTTTGTGTGGTTGCCATTTTCCGTGTCATGACGAGGCCATGTATGAGAAGAGAAGAATATATAGAGGAGAATCTGGAGGCTCAACATGTGACCTTGAACGTGCCGTTTTCTGGTGAGGCCAAGAAGTTTTTGAAGTGACCTTGCACACTTATTTTTAATTTCTGACACACAAAGACCAAGTCTCTGTCATTGCTTTGAATGTGGTGAAATTAAGCTTGGAAAGCCTCTTCGTCTTCTTCTTTTTCTTGGAGACTTCAGCCAATCACAGGGCTTTCTCTCTGATCAGGTGAAACAGTATAAAGAGAAAGAAAGTTCGCAGTGGAAATATGATGTGCTGCAGTAGGAAAAACATGACTGTCACTTAGGAGAGTAGGATTTAAACTTGTGGGAAGCCATAAGTGAATGTTGCCTTATGGCTTGACAATTTTCTACGTTTGTGTGCACAAGTTCATTTTGTGGAAGGACGTTAGTATAAAGATGTAAGAATTGCAGGAGGAGGTCTATGTTTTTAAATTGCCTTTTCCAGGTTTCTACCTTCTGCAGCTTTAAAAAAAAAAAAAAAAAAAAGGTGGAAAAACGGGCTTCTAGTTCTGAAGACTGAAATGACCTTTGAGGTTTAACAGATGTAACCTCTTTTTACGCTCGTATCTCTAATTTTTAGGCGGATTATGTAATGCAATGAAGTATAGAGCGCCCAAAGCCCACTCACACTCACAGTGCAAAGAAGAAACATGATTCAGTTCTTCCCTCTGACTCTGAGGTGACCCCTGTGTGCCTCCCTCACTTCCCCCCCAAGCTGACTACAGATGTTTCGCTTCAAGAGCACTGAAACTGGCCAGAGCTCAACGCTGAGATACACACACACACACACCTACACACACACACACACACACACACAGTCACACAGAGACATAGAAACAAACATTTGTGCACACCCAACCACCCAAAAATTTTGACACATGTACGAACACACAAACCGCTTTGTCTCATCCTTAACCAGGCCAAAGGCAACAAAGTGAACACACACACACACACACACACACACACACACAGAAACACATACGCACGCACACGCACACACAGGATACAAGCCAAAGGGGGGATGTTGTGTGCGATATGTTGAACAATGGGGTTGCTGACGAACTCCCCTGACTAGAAATATTGAGAACAATGCTGGTTGCTTATTTTATCTGGTTTCGCTACAATCAAATAAAATTAATCAAATGCCAAAGGTCTGTAAATTAAATAGTCTCGAGTCAGTTACTGTTTATTGCCTTTCTCCTCTGAAAGAATAACTAAAAAAAATAAACTACTATCCGCTCCAAATGATCATTTTGTAATCTTAACTGTTCGTCTGGAAAAATACAGTCAGCTTAAATTAGGATTAAATATTTTATTTGGATTAACTCGGAGTGATCTTATCTTCATGAGTAATTTCTATCTATGATGAAAGATATTCTTTGTAAAGTGCTTAAAGCAAGTGTTGACTAATGGTGGGACAGTAAAACAATAAATCAACGCCTTTTGTGTTTGCATTGAGACACCAAGTGATGGGTGTGATCACGACTATACATGCAGGTATTAATGAAAGCTTACACAAATCATACATGCAGATGGATACACAAACACACTCAGGAGAAATCCCCACTGACCAACACAATCCTCTCATACACACACACACACACACACATTCCACAGCAATGTCCTCACAGGGGCGGAAAGAATCTGAACACAAATGTAGGTTCTGCCAAGCCCATGGCTGAGCTGTGAAGGAAACCTCCCTTCTTCCCTCCCCACCTCCCTCCTCCCAGCCGGGCCCGCCCCAGATCCAGCACTATATCAACAGCCTGCCTCTCTCTATCAAACCACAGTCCTGCCAGAGCCTACAGCTGTGTAAAGGTCCTCTCTTCTCGTGTCCTCTCGTGACCAGCAGACAGACAGTCATCATGCACTACAGCCAGAGCACCGTCACCGGACCTGTGGTCTCCACCAGACAGAGCCGCAGCTTCACATCCTACGCTGTTCCCCAGAAGGCTCACAGCGTGTCCGCGTTCGGCTACAGGTCAACCCCCCGCATGTCATCCTCTTCAATGCGCACCGTCTCCTCTGGACTGGGAAGCGGCTTTGGGGCTGGATGCGGCCTTGGCGGAAGCAGCAGCTTTGGCTGGGGCAGTGGCGGCGGCGGCTTCGACCTGTCCCTTGCCGCCGACCAGAGCTCTCTCCACCTGAATGAGAAGGCCACCATGCAGAACCTGAACGACCGTCTGGCCTCCTACCTGGAGAAGGTCCGCTCTTTGGAGGCGGCCAATGCCAAGCTGGAGAGGCAGATCAGAGAGTACTACGAGCAGAAGGGGCCTGCAGCAGAGAGGGACTACAGCCACTTCTGGGTCATCATTAATGATCTGAAGGACAAGGTATAGTGGGAGCTGAAACACCAGACAAGTCAAATATTTGCAGTGCTGTTAATGATTGTCAAGGGAGGGCTTTTAAAGTGTAGAAGGCTTACAGGCATGACAAGAGACTGCATGATCTGTGGTGCTACTGAATCCTTGTAGTTTTGATGGACAATTAAGAATGATGTTTTCTAATCAGATGCAGCAGAGAGGATATATTCGTAGCCTATGCAACTCTGGCACCTGGGTAATGAAGTATGTAATTAAGACAAACTCTGCTTTTTTTGCTTTCTTAAGATCCACAACGCCACCACCAACAATGCCAACATCCTGCTCCAGATTGACAACTCCAAACTGGCTGCTGATGACTTCAGAATCAAGTAAGCACTAATTGTCATGCTTCTGTGGATGTACATCTTGATTCTGGGTCTGTGTCTAATATTTGTGTTCTCTACTCCCTAAACTAATTAGGTATGAGCATGAGCTGATGATGCGCCAGTCAGTTGAGGCTGACATTGCCAACCTCCGCCGCCTGCTTGACCAGACCACCCTGACAAAGGCTGACCTAGAGATGCAGATCGAAGGCCTGCGTGATGAGCTGGCCTACCTCAAGAAGAACCACGCAGAGGTGATTGTCGAACATCTATCTGAGCTATGACAGCAGGGCAATGACTCATCACACCTGTAAAGTTTCTTGAAACTCTGCAAACAGATCTTAATGCTTGACTTCTTCTTTCACTGTTCAGGAGCTGGCAGCACTGCGCTCTCAGCTTACTGGCACAGTCAATGTGGAGGTGGATGCTGCACCTCAGCAAGACCTGAACAAAGTCCTGGAGGAGATCCGCGCCCAGTATGAGAGCATCAACGAAAAACACCGTCGCGACCAGGAGGCCTGGTTTAATGAGAAGGTGAAATGATTTTCTCGTAAACAAAAGGCATCACATCCCACACACTGCAAATGACCGGGTTCACTCCCTCAGCAGCATAGCCCATAATTAAACATATCCTATGTGAAACAGAAACAAGCATTCACCAAGATGTCTAACTGTGTCTTCATTTCTCTCTCCAGTCGGCAACCCTGAACAAAGAAGTGGCCATCAGCACAGAAACAATCCAGACGTCCAAGACAGAGATCAGTGACCTGCGACGCACACTGCAGGGCCTGGAGATTGAGCTGCAGTCTCAGCTCAGCATGGTGAGAGAAAAAAAAAACAAAAAAAAACTCTGAAACCCAAAACCATCTATTCACATCTCACTGATCTTACCTTATATGAGCAAAATTCCAGGATCCTGTCAGGGAGAAGTGGAGACAGTGATAGAGGGCAGTGAAGAAAAGGGAGGTTTTATTGAAAGAATGAAGGGAGGGAGAAAGGCAGATATGAAAGATGGGAGCAGTGGAGAAGCGAGGGAGGGGTTCCAGTTCAGGGAAAACATTTCACACGACATCTGTTCAAATTCTGGGAGACATAAAAGTGCTTGAAGAAAGCTGAAGGAATGCTGAGCTGGATGACTACAAGTCATGCTCCTGTGGATTATCTGTGCCCAGCTGGAGTCAGAAAAAACAAAACAAAACACACACTACTCCTATGTAAACGCAGAGGAGCATCTTATGCATCTTCCTTTTATTCCCTCACAAAGTGATCTGTACAAACATTTTGTGCCTCACTTATTGAATACAGGGAGTGGCCAGTGAGTCTAAACTTCAGAAGTGTCACAGAAGACTAATTAAAGTAAACTGGTTCTCAAGAGCGACGAATATATGTCTCAACTGATGTGTATCAATTCTCTCCCCAACAGAAATGCGCCCTGGAGAACACATTAGCAGAGACCGAGGCCCGTTACAGTGCCATGCTCGCCGGCTACCAGAACACCATCAACATGCTGGAGACAGAACTCGCCAACGTGCGCGCCAGCATCGAGGAACAGGGCTCTGCATACAAGATGCTGCTGGACATCAAGACAAGGCTGGAGCAAGAGATCGCAACATACAGGAGCCTGCTGGAGACAGAGGAGTCCAGGTAGACACAGGAGCACTGACACCATTTAGATCAAAATGCAACCATTTTTTATTATTATTATTATTAACTCAGTGTTTTTTCCTCTTCTTTTCTCTCTCCCTTTTTTTTTAGACCAATTGGCACCGGTAAGTGAAGCGCATTTTAACAATACTTTACATAGCAACAGCCAGTCAGTGTAATAAAAGCGTGAAGTGCTGCTGTCCTAATTTAGTTTTTCCTGTCTTTTCAACAGGGGGCTCAAAGACCACCATCACCACCACCACTGTACGCAGCTAGAATGTCCAACTGGCAGGACAAGCTGTTCTCAGACACACATGCACACACATGCACTCCAACTAATACGAGCTGTTACACAAGAAGAGTAAACTGTACTGAAAAAAAAGAAAAAACCTGAAATATGTCAAAGTTCATGAAACAGTATTTGCAAGAGAATTTCTCTTTGCCCTGTGTGTGTTTGTGTGACCTGTCTGACAAATAAATCTGCTGGTGAATATAAGCGCTGAGCTGTTTTGTGTCTTTATTGGTCTTTCAGAAAAAAAAATGAGCTTCTTCAACTTTTTCCATTACATCACTCTGTTTATGCAATTGCCATGGCAACCGCATTAAATTCTGGGAGTTGGGATACTGGGGTGGAAGTCTGTGTTACGTAGCGGGGCTGTTGTCAGGAAAGGCTGAACAATGGTTAACAGCTCCAGAGTGGAAAGCGTTAGGATGTAGAGGAAAGGCCCGACTCTGAAGGCTGTGTCGGTTCAGTCAAAACTCAAACAGAACAAGAAAAAAAAAAGTGCAAGTTATGCGACCAAGTAAAACAAATGACCCCAGGGTTTGCCCAAAGAGGTTTTTCAAACAAGTCACACCCATATGGTTGACTAATCTTTGCCCTGAAGGCTTTTCAACAGTGCTACATGAAGTCTGAGTAACTACTGTCACCTAGAAACAGGAACACACACACGGCTCAGGTCAGAAACACTAGTGAACAAAGAGAGTCATTGTGGTCAGAGCTATCAAGGATGCAGCTTTACGAGCTTTAAATGATAGCAAATGACCAATGAGCTGTTTTGCAAAAGCATTGTTAAGGGTGGGACGATGTAATGTACATGCAGTGTAAAAGAGACATGGGATTGTTATGTTCATGTGCTGTGCGCGTTGTTGAGCACAGAGGGAGAGAAAGCAGCTTTAGAGCTGTTGCACTCTGCACAGGTCAGCACTTAGAGCCTCTGAAATTACAGTGAAATCCTGCTAAGAGGTCATAATTCTCAAATGATGGTGTAATGTTTTGCAGGCGAGGAGAGAAAGATTACAGAGAGGATCAAACTGCAATTTCCAGCCGTCTCTAAGGAGCTTCACTCACCCATATTTGGACACATTTTGTTGCACATCGGTGTCTCTGCCGCGCTGATAGTTCGTGACAAAGTCCTCACAGTTTTGCCTGTAATTTGATTGGAAAATCCAAAGCAAAGGTCATAAAAGACATTGCACTAGTGCCAGACCTTTTTCCCCAGATTAGTGTTTAACCCAGTGGACCTGTCAGCAGGAAACTGTGCAAGGCCATGACTGAACATGTGGGACTGATGTTGTGCTCTTATTTCATCTGCTCCCAATGGGACTGTCGCAGCAGACTATTACTAACAATAATCTTGATATTTAAACCCTTACATACTGTGTTGGGTCAAATTTGAAATTTGAAATTTGACAGCAGTAAAAATACCCCAAACATCAGTCTTTTAGTCTGAAATGTAATCAGTTTTCCTAAAGTGACCCAAAATATACAAAAAAAGTATAATTTAAAATGTTAGACTTTTGTACAGGTGCTACAATTTTTTGTACACTGAAGTTATTTCAGGTCAAATTTGATCCATTGAGTTGGGTTTTAGATCTACCAGTGTGGGTCAAATCAAGGAAAATGGTGGTTTTAGGAAATCTTGAAACTGGGAAACTGTACAGGCCATGTTTTATGTGTATTTTTTATTTACATTTATTAATGTGACATTGGCTATTTAGACATTCTAAACAGCTCTGTGGTTTAAAATTTATAGTATAAAGTAGACACTTACAACGAGGGAATTCTAGACAGTATGTAAGGGTTACACAATGAAATACTGATATTATGGTTATAATCCACAAATATTAAAATTCTAAATGATACAGCAGCAATAACAGTTTTGCAGTACATTTGTGGTAAACTCGTAATTTTGTATGTGATTTACTTACCAAGAGACAGAACACACAATATACAAAAATAAAGATGAATTGACTGGTGAATTATTTATTATAGTTGAAATTTTCTACAGATATCACGATAATATTGTTATCATGAATAATCACAGGGAAAATCTGATACCATGACGGTCCTGCAATTGTAAAATTGTACTTTGCTTTTTATTGTCACTTTTCTGCCAAGTCAAGTGAAGTCGGTTTTGTTTATATATTCCAATACCTCTTGCTGCATTACAGTCTGTACAACATCTGGACTGATATTCAGAGCTAAAGTCTCCGAGTATGCACAGCAACATTCTAATAAAAATTCAAATCCACATGAATATGTAACTTTATATTATACAGATTATACTACAGGCCTAAGAGCATGCTGATCTTTACATCTAAAACTGATGAATACTGTGCAGGGTAAAAGTAATGGTTTGTAGCATTTGTGAGGTTTTTCATGATTTTGGGTCCAATAAAAAAAAAAAAAAAGCTTAAAGATTTAAAAATATATAGACATTTAGAGAGAGATTTATACTGCTTGCATGTCTGCATGGTGAATTTAAAGTTGCAGCCACCAGTGGTTAGCTTAGCTTAGCATAAAGACTGGAAGCAGGGGAAAACCGTTAGCCTGATTCCAGTCTAAAGGTGAAAACGCCTTTCAAGCAGCTCTAAAGGTCATTTTTTCACATTTCTGGTGCAGTGCCAGTTTGAAGTGTATCTGTTTGGAACAGGCTGATTGTGGTTTTGCAGCATGAGTGAGTGATGGAAGTCATTTGTTGCAGGAAGAATGCGGTGAGTCAGCAAATGCACAGCTGATTGAGGTTGTAAACATTTAGCTGTAATGATTAAACAACATTGATCTGGACCTGAAATTCAGATAAAATGTCATTATTTGGATTGATAATAGGTCCAAGAAACAGCTAGATCAGGAGCCAGACCTTCATGACACTCTGAAGGACAAGGTGGCTATGGCTAATATACTGAGAGATCATTTTTGAATTCTTGGCCAAACAGAAATAATGCCTGAAACATACACTATTAATTTTTTTTTTTTTTTCAAATTAAAGCATGCTACAAAATCTTGGTGAAAGGGTGCCAGAAAAAATACATAAAACATTGTAGAATATTGTGTCTGAAAACAACAAAAACTGTAAACAAAAAACAAAACAAAACAAAACAAAACAACAACAAAAAAAAACAACAGTGAATGAGAACTAATGATATTTTTAATTGAATTACACAACGCAAAACTGCATAATTTTAGGGTCACACTTTGTAAAATAGCAAGATATTATGTGTAAAAATACAGATGTGGACTTTATTTACAATTTTCGCCTGCTACTTATTTACTACATATACATTTTTTAAATTTCTGTTATTATAATAGATATTATCTGTAAATTGACAAAGCAGGAAGAATCTGTAAAATATATCAGAAAAAAATCCCCTTGATATACAGATTTTTTCTCTCAAAAAAGGATTAATATAAGTAATGACATTTTTGCTGATTTAAATACAGTAAAAAATTGTAAAAATGTTTATAGTCAACTGTAACAATAAATGGTCATTTGTAAAAACAAAATTTTTAAAAATAAATAAAAAATACAGACTTTTGATGTGGACATGGCTTGTAGTTCTGGCCCATCCTTTTTAGGGTTAAGCTGAAATTGAATACTTTTCCTTTGTGATTTAACAACTTATTTTCTCTTGTTTAACAAAACCGGGAAAATCTGTGCAATAACTGTCATTTGTTCAAAATTTTACAATACAAACTCCTAAAAAAACTTTTACTTTTTACAGTGTATACATTATGAATTTGTGGCAAACCTGCAGCAACAAGTATATTTAAAAATCAACCATTTGCCATTTGTTTTCCACAGTTAGTCAAAAGCTTACCGCAAGTTTGCAACAAACCTGCACATTTTACATGACCTTGCTGCAGAGTGAAACAACTGATAATTACTAAAGATAGCATCCAAAACAACTTCACATTGCAGGGTAATAAGTTTGCATACACACAAATGAGATGCAGTCTGTGAACTGTTGTTTAATGTGCCATCAACACCTCTGCTGAAGATGTCATTGAAAACATGCGGTCATGAAGACATTACAGAACACAACTTTTTTCCCAAATATGGGAATCGCTCATCCAAATGACTTTAAAATCAACACTCCCCATTTTTTGGACTCTCTGCAAGCTACACTGTAAGCATGAGGTAGATCAGATTGTTGAAAAAAAGACCACACACACACACACACACACACACACACACACACACACACACACACACAAATAAAAACTTCTTTCCATATACATATCGTGTCGTGTTTTTTTAATATGTTCACAAAACTCAAAGTGTAAAAGAACAATTGGAGATCAGTGATCAAAGGCAAAAAATGGTCCCACACATTACGCTCTGTAAAAACAAACTGCATGTTGTTCTTTTTTAACCGATTAAAGAAACAAGATACAACACGTTACTGGTAATTTGTCAGCTTTAGAGGTGCTGGTGCAGACAGGAGTGGCATCAATCTGCTTATCTTAACGCTTGTTTTAACTTTGAAACTTAAAGTCACAGTTGAGATGAGCCGTGGATATAAAAGTCTGTGAAGATGATGACAAGTCCTACAGAGCTACAGGAATTACTATCTTTTTAATCACCTTTAATATGCAACAGTTGGTCCAAAGCCAAATATGTTGAGTGGTGCAGCAATTTTTTATGAACAAATTGAAGAAACTGCGTATGATGGATTTTAAAATACCAGAACTTTGCTGTCACTTATTTACATAAGGGGACAACATATGATGTTCAGATGTACTGTTATGTAGCGATTGGCTGGGGATGATGTGATTTGTAAAACCACCGACTTCCCACATAAATCGATGTGGGAGCGATCGGAGGAGCTGGTTTAATTTGTAATGGTGCTCCACCTTGTCATAATAAAGTGCTGTCATCAATACACTGTGAGGAAATGAAGGTGAATTATGGATTTAATGGATGAGAAAATGACAGACAAGAAAGCGAAGAAGCCGACAGTGAGTAGCAGTTAGGTTATTCGCCAATTTGCAACATTAATAGGCAATCTGTCAGCTTGTGGCAGCATAAAGACGTACGATAGAAAGCAGTGCCAAGTTGCCAGCAGTCATTTTAGTGTTTTCTCCCTGCTGTGGCTGCCTGTTATTCAGTGCTAGCCTGGGGCCTGCAACAAGTGAGATCATGGTGGAAGAAGAGAAGACGCTTTGATGTCATGACACACTTGACATACAACAAAAGTTCAGTTTAGTGAAAA